AATCTACATCTTTGACGGCCTAAAGGGGAGTACATTTTCATTTTTGGGTAAACAGTTCCTTTAATTGCAAAGGGTTCTTCAGACTCTTCCTTTGTGAATGCATGAGGGTATCCTTACAGGTCCAGAAAGGAAGAGGGTAAGCAATATTTTTGGAGCATGAACCACGGTCGTCATGTTCCCAATGAACACTTCATCTTTTTATGAAAAAAAGTTCCCATGGTCAGGTCCCATGAAACACCTCGCCCCCTTTCATTATGTAACAGTATTCCCAATGAACATTCTGTCTTCTCTTTTTAATATTTACATTTTACTTCAAATAAACCTCTCTCTGAGGCCTGTCGCCATACCCACTGTGCCCGTCTCCGTTCACCCTGCCACAATGTGTCTTGTGGGTGTGGGTACAACTGTCTGTTCTCAGCAGTTCTTGCATGCTTCTCCATGGACCCGGTGAAACAGATGCTCTGAACTGTCACAAAATTCACTTAATACAAAGCCCACTGGATGGACTGAGGGAGAAGAAATGGGGCAGGGAAGGAAGCATCCATAAAAACAAGAACATGTACTTACTGTACTGGCAGTTTCTTCCCATATATTCCCCTGGGCATTCACAGGAATAGTTCGCAACCAGATCTGTGCAGATCCCCCCATTTCTACAGGGGCTTCTTTCGCATTCATTAACATCTGCAGAAAAAAAAAGGGAAAAAGGGAATCGTTTATATCAGGCTTAAAGTAAATCAGGTTTATTGAGTTTGTACTCTTTGTTATTTTATATTTGTCTCATCTCACTGCTTAGAAAAACATTCCAGACAAAATGGCGACTATTGATGATAAAGCAATAACACCCCCTCGCTAGCAAGTCTTTGATTAATTAAACATTTATAAACTCAAAATGTTGTGTTGCATTTGAAACAGACAAAAGAGTAAAGAATGACAAAAATTAAAACTGAGGTAGAAATTGTAGGAATACACAACCACTTCTAATATTTACAAGACTCTTTTTTATTTTTATTTATTATTATTATTTTGCCTTTAGTAAGGAGGAGGAATGAGAGGGGCAGTTCTGACAAGTCCATTTGACTCTTCCAGGATTTTTCCAACAACAACAACATTATTATAATTTAAAAATAACTGTTTTCTATTTGAATACATTTTAACATGTAATTTATTCCTGTGATGGCAAAGCTGAATTTTCAGGAGCCATTTCTGCAGTCTTCAGTGTCACATGATCCTTTAGAAATTATTCTAATATGCCAATTTTACCATGGGCGACTGGTCGTTCTGCAGGGACAATAAAGAGAAGTGGATAGTGGGATTTGGAAATGACCCAAACCAGATTCAAACTTGTTTCACCCACACATAGGTGCAGGACCCACACATCTTGTTTATTCTAAAATTACATTGATAAGGTATACTTAAAAAGGAACAGCAGCATTGAAACATCCTGAGGTTAGGATCAACAATGGTAAAATGAATTTCAATAACCATTTGTACCATTAACTTTGTGTTGAAGTGACTGTTTGTAGTTTAAAGTTAATGAAAATCCTGCCAGGAAAATCAATTTAAATGTAAATGGCAATTAAAAATTAATGTAAAACCCCACACAACTCCCCTGCTGAACACTGCTTTGTTGAGAGTACATCTTTTCTTTTAATAAGACATGTTTACACTGACACATGATAAGCTAGACCTATGCATCAGCTCACATCATGAGCCGCTCAGAGTGTTTGAACAGTGAGCTGCAACCTGGTATTGAGAGAAACTAAAATCTATATAGGAAAAGTTGTTCTGTTTCAAAACATACCAAGCTCACCGGTGATGGTTGGTCATCGCTTTAGCATCTACCGCAGCACACACACAGGAGAAAGAAATTGAAATTCAACCCTATCATCCTGAGGTTTCACCACAAATTAGCCTGATGAAAGGCACACCTCTGTCTTTATTCCTCTGTGGTTAGACTAACAGGATATAGACAGCTGCTTGCTGAGAAAGAGCAGTCACAATAATCCAGCCGTGTGGTCTAGGGAAGCCCTCAGCTCTCTAAGACTGAATGCCTGGAGACCAAATTCCTGTAAGAAAGAAAGTTAGAGTGTGTAACTTTTTTTGGATGTTAAAGTTAAATTATGTCATCATTTGCTCACCCTTATGTCATTCCAAACCTGTATGACTTGTTTGGTATTTTGCTATTTTGAAAATGTCCTTTTGTTCAAAGAAAGTCAGTGAGGTTCAGTGTTGTTATTCGTTAAAATATCATGTTTTCTTCTTTTTTTTCAGCTTTTCAAATATGGTGACTCTTTAGCTCCTGAAGCCTCATAGGATAGAAGTGTCCAACGGACACTGACATTATTAAATTTGAAAATTATTTTATTGAACTGCATGTACATACTGTCACACTGCAAGTGCACTACATTTCCCCTTAGACATATCTATAGATAATATTTGTATGTAAATTATAATTGTCTATTTTCTGGACACTTCTAGTATCTATATTCTAATTGCTTTGTGTTATCTTATTTTTGATATATCTTATATTTGACATATTTTCGCAAAACATATAGTAGGAAAGTACACATTTTTTTATGTTGGCAGTCATATAATAGTCTTTACAATTCAATTTTGTGATGCTAGAGGCTCAGAAAGGTTCACGTGAAAATTGGTTAGAACTCGTTTGAACTAAAATTCACCACAATAAACCATCAGAACTAAACTGGAGCAAACCACTCAACAAGTAAATGTATGTTGTGTGTTGATGTGTTTGAGGACATGATCTGTGGAAATAAGCCTTAATGTTGATCCTGAAGATTTCACAGAACTGAATAAATTTGCAATGGCAGAAAATGTTACAAGAAGCCATCAAAGAGCTGAAGGAATTAACTTTGATGTTTAGAGGATAAGCTTCCATTCAACAGTAGCCTTGATTTTGCTAAATTACCTGGCCTAAATCAAAGACTTAAAATCCTGTTGGTATTTTCGGACATTGAATGCAGATGTAAAATAAATCCCTAATTCCCTATAATATATTTGTGATCTAGGTTTTGGCTTGAGATTAATACTGTATATCCCTAGAGAAAAGTGTGTGCCAATGCTCATGTGACTTACAGAAATTTTATTTGTGCTCCTATATGAATTCAGTAGTACCTTAATCTTCTCTTTTTAAGTAATGTGAAAACACAAAAACTACTTTGCATAATAGTAAGTGGGGCAGTAGACCTGACATTACACAAAACAAATCACTTTTGAGTACTGCAGGTTTCACACTTGATATCGGTTTATCTTAAAAACACACAAACTCTGTACCACTTGTAATGGAACAAAACAAATTGCAAAACAATTACTTAATTACTTCAAACATCTTAATGACCATGCAACTTCAAATTAGAAAACTATGCTCTAAGCACTTCTCTCCGAACAAGTGCTTTATTAGCATGGGTGCACAAACAAGCACTTGTCAGACACAGTGCCATCGCCATAGCAGGAGATTGTCACAATCACAAGGATTATGATTTAATTAATTCAAGTGAGAGAGGCTTAACGCTCTCATTAACGATCATTAACTTGACAAACAAAGACCTGGGAGCACACTGCTGACAACAACAAGGGCAAATTATCATTAAGTTAATAGCTACTTCAAAATCAAAAATGGCTGCTAATGTTTGCTTTTATATTTCACAAATCTGTTGATTCGTTATAGGGGACATATTATTAGGAATCAAAATTTCCTTAAATCTTAACACAGTAGATAAGAGTTCAGACTACTTTGAAAACATACTGTCACGCAAAGAACTCAACACTTCCTTGCAGGATGAAAAGAAAATTTTTTGAAACTAAACTGCAAAAACATCTGTTTTATTTGTATTTATGTGACATATTATTAGGAATCAAAATTTCCTTAAATCTTAACACAGTAGATAAGAGTTCAGACTACTTTGAAAACATACTGTCACGCAAAGAACTCACTTCCTTGCAGGATGAAAAGAAAATTTTTTGAACTAAACTGCAAAAACATCTGTTTTATTTGTATTTATGTATTTTTTGACATAAGAAACCAGAAACATGAACATATACCTACGCAAGTTTATACCTCGACCTATACCTCACCTATTTGAGGCTCAGAAACGTGTTATGTGATGTGATAAAGAGAAAGCAGGATAGATGGGCTTCTGTTAATCCTGCATGCCTTTGACAATATTAACGACACAATGGTTCCCTGCCATTGACAAGTTATTCCAGCAATCTGTGTTTTCATTGTTATACTGTAGGGGACAATGTTACAGAACTAAAAACAGTACACCATCTCTGGATCCTGAGTCTGGTAAGACATGCAAGGAAGATATGTGTAACCAAAAAGAGTGGATAGAAGTTGTTTACGCATAAGAAAAGCTAAAAACCATGATTTTAGCAAATGGCTGCAATATAACAAAGAGTGAAAAATTTAAGGGGGTCTGAATACTTTCCGTACCCACTGTACCTCACCTATTTGAGGCTCAGAAACGTGTTATGTGATGTGATAAAAGAGAAAGCAGGATAGATGGGCTTCTGTTAATCCTGCATGCCTTTGACAATATTAACGACACAATGGTTCCCTGCCATTGACAAGTTATTCCAGCAATCTGTGTTTTCATTGTTATACTGTAGGGGACAATGTTACAGAACTAAAAACAGTACACCATCTCTGGATCCTGAGTCTGGTAAGACATGCAAGGAAGATATGTGTAACCAAAAAGAGTGGATAGAAGTTGTTTACGCATAAGAAAAGCTAAAAACCCTCTTTTGTACAGAACTACTTCCTAATCACAGCCGTGCTGACATACAGCCATATTGCACTGCTACGAGTGTGTTATTGCATTTTTATACCATGGTCTGTCTGAATACTCGATTCTGATTGGC